TTTTGCAGACTGTAAGAGCAATTTTATAAAATTAAACTTGAACTTTCGATTATATCAAATAGAATTTCCGATGCTGGAGCTCCCAAAGGATCTACAAAACGAAAGTATGTTTCGATTTCCATCAAACAAAAAGTGGAATTGCTGCAAAAAATGGATAAAGACATCAAGAAGGTGAAAGAGAGGTTAGTGAAAACGAAAAAATTTCGATTGACAAGTTAGTCGGTATTCTCGGCACAGCAATTACGGGACTTGTAACTGAACAAAAAATCATGTCTGTTTATAGAATTAAAGAGAAAGTATTATCACATAAAACGAAACAACTTACATTGAAAGAATGTTTAAAGTAAACAAATAAATATTAAGCTTCTTTTTTTGTATATTTTGATACCCTTTAGATCATAATTGTTCTTTATTTCATAAATTACGGTTTCATATTTTGAATTTTAGAATTTGTGCATGCCATCTTACGAGATTTAAACTGATGACCTATAATCCGGAAAAATCGATAATCCGGAATCGCCGAAGTCCCGACGAGTCCGGATTAACGACTTTTGACTGTATATGCTTTACGCATGCGTGCTTTGAAAGAAATGTTTAATAAAGTAAACAAATAAATATTAAGGGTTTTTTTTTTTTTTTTTTTTAAATTTTGATACCTTTTAGATCATAATTGCTCTTTATTTCATAAATTATGGTTTCATATTTTTAATTTTATAATTTCTGCATGCCATCTTACCAGATTTAAACTGATGATCTATAATCCAGAAAAACCAATAATCCGGAATCGTTAAAGTCCCGACGAGTCCGGATTAAAGACTTTTGACTGTACTGTGTTAGCGCAAATTTTTGTGATACTCCAGGTAACTTTGAGGAGGCGACAACATGCAGCGAGGAAATTGGAAAGAGGCAATGGACAGTGAAATGAACAGTCTTGTTAAAAATGACACTTGTACACTAGTGATTAAACCAGAGGATAAAGCAATTCTGGATGTGAAGTGGGTATTCAAAAGAAAACCAGGCAATATTTTTAAAGCTAGATTACTCGTTCAAGGTTTCTAGCAAAAAGGTAGTATTGAGGATACTTACTTCCCTGTCACTAAGATGCATTTTGAGGAAACTAATTGTTTCCAAAGAATTTTTGGCTAAAGCCAAAAAATGCTCTCTAAATTCATTGCAATAATTTTTTTGTGTAACATTAAGTTCTTGTTTTATGTTTCCTAATAAATTTTTTTAGTTACTACTTAATTGAGATTTACTAATGTAAGTACAATTTTCTTTTTTCTATTTGTATATATATATATATATATATATAATATATATTATATTTTTAATATCAAAGCATGATATTAATTCTTCGTGTTCTTCTGAATTTTGAAGAAATCTTCTGAATTTTTATCTTTAGAGGTTGGCAGGTATGCATAATAAATTTAAAATGAAGGATTTAAATAAAGTAAAATCTACATTGGAATTGATATTGAATGTGATAATGAGGAAAGTAATATCTTAACATTGACTCAGGAAAATTATATTAAATCTTTAGCTAAACTGTATGGTATTGAAAATTCAAAGCTTTATGATACACCAATTGAGATTAATCTTAAACTAAGCCAATCTAATTTAAATCAAAAGGTATCAAATATAGAAATCTAATAGGAGCACTCTTTGTATATTAGTCATGGCTACTAGACCAGACATATCTTTCAGCGTAAATTATCTAAGTAGATTTCAAAATTGTTATGATGAGACACATTTCAAATATGCTTTGAGAGTTTTAAAGTATTTGTTCTTAACAAAACATCTAAGATTAACCTATAGTAAAAATCTTAAAACTGATATTGTGAATGTTTTGTAATGTAATGGTCTTTACCCGAGTGCCTCTAATATTCAGTTTCAAAATATCAGCAGAATAAAACAGAAGCTATGAAAATATTTTCTAGAATAATATATTATAGCAGGCTTGACCAAACTCCAGTTTGCAAGTCGCATATGGCTCTCTGATGCCTTAATTCTAGCCAAAGTTTGGCTTTATCTTCTTAAATGTGATTAGTTTAATTTTTTTGTAACAAACAGTATTTTAATTTTCAAGATATAATTGCATTTTGAAACAGAAATCATGTAATGATACATTTCTGTAGTAATCACTAATTTACAGGGTTCGTACGGTCCTTAAAAGTCCTTAATTTTTTCAAAAATGATTTTCGGTCCTTAAAAGTCCTTAATTTTGGCCAAAATGAATAAACGGTCCTTAATTTTGCTCATTTGACATTTCTTATTATCATTTCTAATGATTGCCATTCTAAGTGTGAATTACGATTTCTCATGAATATGGAATTAAAATTACACAGGCTCTTAACCAATCTGTTGGCGGATTTGCATTGCAAACGATTAAAAAAAAAATTAATACCCGAAAAAGTATCGGTGTCTGATTGGCTATTCACGCAATCTTTCGAAACAGGTGTTATCCATAATTTAGGCATGTGACGAAAGCGTGAAGCTGGAAGTTCTTTAAGAGGCGAAAGTGATGATGAAGGTGCTCGAGAAAAAAAAAGGGGGGGGATTCTGAAAATATTTGCCAAAATTAGAGCAATTCCAACCTGGAAGGCCACAACCCTTCCGACGCCAATAGGAACGAGATGCCTGGAAAGTGCATTTTCAATAAACTGTGGCTTCATCAAGCTGACTACAAAGACTGGATATTGATGGATGGCAATCCTTAAATGTGGTCTTTGTCTGAAACAAATTGAAATTTCTAGAATGGGAGAGTCAGCACTGAAAATTCACATGAAAATTAAGTTTCGTTTTATCATTTCAATTTGTTTTTACACGGTTTTGCTTAGCTTAATTTCTGTGTTTGTTTCAATTAAGCCATAAATTAATTTTTTATCACCTTCTACGGAGTTTATTCTCTTTTGCACATACTATATGTATGGGATATCGGGATTATGAGTTTATTTCTGCAGAGGGTCTGTTATCGATTTCGCGGGAAATCTGTTGGCTCCATTTCGATTTTAGGTCGCCAAGGGCAAATTCGGTAACGCTAGCTGAGAAAAAGTGAAGTTCGGAAATACGTTTTGAAGCTTCAATAGACAATTAAGTATTTGGTTTAAAAACCTATGTTGTTGATAGTAATGCATAATTTTTGCTAATGGCGATACAATTATTAGTTGAAAATAACTAATTAAAAATTTTTTAAATATTTTTAAAGCTGAAAACAACTAATTGAAACTAATTTTCCTGAATTAACTAGACGCAAAATTAACTTTCATGAATTACTAAAGTTATTGGGTAGAAGTTTAACTGAAAATATACATTCCGTATTATATATATATATATATATATATATATTATATTTATACAGTACAAAGTCCGAGGTCTGGACTCGTCGGGACTTCGGCGATCCTAGATTTGAGATTTTTCCGGATATTAGATCATTTTAAATCTACTAAGATGGCACGTAGAAATTATAAAATTGAAAATATGAAATCGTGATTTATGAAATAATGAAGCATTTATGATTTAAAGGGTATCAAAATTTACAAAAGAAAAGAGCTTAATATTTATATGTTTACTTTATTAAACATTTCTTTCAATGTGAGTTGTTTGATTTGTTTTCTCTCTGCTAATACTTTAGACTAATACTATAGACATATAATTTCTTGTTCAGTTATTAAGTTCCATTGTTCAAGTCCTGTAATTTCTGTGTTGAGAATTCCGAATAACTTGTCAATCAAAATTTTTTCTCGTTCAGTAACCTCTCTGTTACTTTCTTCACTATCGGTAGCTGTATTTTCTGGATTTAGAACCATACTACAGATTTCGCCCTCCATTAATTGATTGATGATTGGGCATTGTCATCGCAATGAGAAACTTCTGTTTAACTTCGCTAAATTCTGCGGCCATGCGAGCTCTAGCGCTGGTTCTGGCTTTATGTGAATAACAAATTAGTTATTCTTAATTCAAATAGCACTAAATATAATCGTTTGTCCTATGAGTATCATTAACAAAATCTATTTTTAGCATAAGGAAAGAAATTTCTGCTAAATCTCCCCCTGTCAACATTTTAGCGCATTAAACTTAAATCTGTAATCGGATAATAATACTCTGTTATTTGGCGTCGCTGCATGATTCATCACTCAAGTTGTCATCCGTTGATAAACATGCGGTGATGAAAGCAAAATACAATAAATAATGATTCGCGATTTCGGCATCAAGGATATAAAATATTAGTTGGTGTAAAATTAACAAATGTTTCGGTTTGAGATTATGCCAAGCAGATACGCAGCTATGGAGTCAAGTTACTAATCACACAAATTTATGCTAAAATAATTATTTCTTCAATAATGAGATATTTTATTTAGCGCCAAACTGAGATTAAGAATCGGGATTTCCGGCATGTTTTTTTATGATGAGGAAAAAATCTAATGCGCGTGCGTAAAGCATACCCCTTCCCTTCAAAAAAGCCCTAAAAAATTGGTTGGTGGTGGCTTTGAGGTCCGGATTTTAGATCATTCCAGATATTGGGTGTCCGGATCTCGGACTTTGTACTGTATATATATTTTCACTATTCAAGTATTCACTGTGACAAGTATTCTTATCTTGTCACATGAATAGGCCTCTGTGGAAAGGGGCTTCTCTGTAATAAAAGCAATTGAAATTGAAAATTTAAGTGATTCATCATACATTTTTCAACGCACAGTATTTGATTACATAAAATTTTCTGGGGTGTTCTTAATATCGAAATTAATAAAGAAATGAGATCAGCAGCAGCTTCTGCAAGAAGTGGAGTTCGTTATTTAGAAGTTCAGTATTTAGAAGAACAAAAATCTTTAACTAAATCTGAAAATTCAAAGAGGAAAAGAAATATTATTGAGGAAGAAATTGATTATATGAAGCAGAAGAAAAATTTCTTCAAAGGGACATTAAAGATATTAATGAAGAAGTAGATGCTTTAGCAGATGAAAGCTGAGACCAGCAGGAACATTGATTTGTTTATCAAAGCAAATGAACTTAGAAGAATAGTTAAAGAAAAGGAAATAGACATAAATAAATTAGATGTTAAAATAGCTGAAAAGATTTCAGATTTAAAAAAAGCACAAATGTTTTGTATCTTTTATTGTACAGTTTATTATTCTAGTATCTTTCAAAAAACCAAGGAAATAAATTGTATGTTTACAAATCAGTTATTTTAATCTGCAAAATATTCTTACATTGTGATTATAATAGTAGTTGACTGTGTTTAAATAAATATCAAATAAGTTAAATAATAATCATGTAAATCTCTAAAATAGTGACTGTTATTAGTGTAAAATACACTTATACATGTTTTTCAAGAAATTATGTTCCTAATTTAATGTTATCTACTTCATAACTTGTAGGGAGTTAGTTTAATTTTCAAAATTGTTTTATGGTAAGTATTAAATTGAATTTAATAATAGTGCATAATACACACTTCTGTTAGTTTCTTAAAGTGAAATTACAAGCATGAAGTCGGTTTGTATGGATAATTGCTTTATTCTATTCTTTTTTTTTTTTTTTTTTTTTTTGCTGATAGGTCCTTAATTTTTTTTTCTTTGATGGTCCTTAAAAGTCCTTAATTTTCATGTAAGGAAATGTGTACGAACCCTGATTTAATTTCTTAAATTATATTCTGCTGGTGCTTGGTTAGAAGACCAGTCACAATTTTCTGATGTGCAGGTGTTCCTCAAAGCTAATTCTCCATCCCTAAGCAAGTCAGCTCATTTTTATTCTTTTTTTGCAACCATTCATAGCAACATGTAACAGTCACACTTCTTCCACGTTAAACTATTATCTTTCGTGATAATTCTTTGGTAATCCTAGGCAGAGATCATCATTTATGTCATCAGTGCTTGAGCATGTTAAAGTTTTGATAACTGGGAAAATGGACTTCTATATTGGATTGACAGCCATTTCAGTTTCAGTGAAAGCTTTTTAGTTCATGTTTTGTCAATTGTTGTAACTCAAGACAGAAGTCTTTCACATTCATCATCAAATCTTCACTTCAATGATGTTGCATCAAGCAGTTACAGATTATCTGAACCCAAACGTCAGTCGAAATACAGAATAGTGATGCTGATGAAATCACTTTACTTCAGGATATTTTCTTACATATTGCTTGATGAACTTCTTTCTTTCTAACCATCAAATACCGCACTTATTTAGGGCCGATGTTAGACTTTTTGCCACCTGATAATCTAACATTTTCTTTTCACCTCTTAATTCCGCTACTAAGTGTATGGTTGTCATGGCTGTGTGTTGGCACTACGCTTCTTTAATTTGTTGGTATTTTAAGGTCTCTAACCTCATAAAAAACAATGTAATGTGTAACTCAACTGAATATAATGAATTAATTCAAATATTCAAAGTTAGATTTGATCTCAGTATGCTGGTACTCATGTTAATTGTATGGGAAAGCAATAAGACTGAAAAAATTGATACCGTATTTTAAAATTTTTCTTACTTAAACAACAGTATCTGTGCTGTCCAGTATCACTTATTTTATTCTTTATTCTGTGTAAAAGACTACATGAAGTAAAATAAAAAAAAGCACTCATGCAATTTTTAAATTAATAATTTATGCTTTGCTCAGATTAAAATACTTTTTACATTATTATTTTCATAAGAACATATACTTAATCTTCCAATTTAAGTGTCAATATTTTTGTTTATATAGCTGTCTAAGAGTAAGTATTAACCTTCTTTGGCATGCATGTTTTCGAAATGGATTAAGTATAGATTTGCGGCTCTTGGAAAACCCAGCTGTGGTTCTCAAATTTTCATGAACACTACCACGCAGCTCATATCTTCATGAAGTTTAGCTATAGTTTTAAAAATTGGAAAATGAAGGCTCATTTGAACAAATACTATTTTACATTTTTTATTTAAAATTAGCAAATATTATTTTTCAGTTATTAATAACAGAAGGAGTTTTGTTCGTAAAAAGTATTAACTTCATTTAGTAATACAAAACTCTATTGAAAATCTTCATATTTAACTGGGAAATTCCTTTTGCCTTTTTTTAAGTATAATTACTTTCACTGCTGTACTAAGAAAGAATGATTTATTGTATAAATGGATTTTACTCTATTATTAAAATTACAGCAATTTTTTTATAACAAAACACTTTTAAATTGGATGGGAAGAATGTGTGAAGTACAGTTTTTGAAAGAAAAAACGTTACGCAATAGTTAGTTGTGTTCAATGTCATATGTTATTATTCTGTGTACTATGATGGTATATAATTTAGCAATTCAAAGCCCCTGAAAAGGGTCTGTGACACTTAACCAAGACCAGTTAGCCGACAGGATACTTTGCCGACACGGACAGTTAGCTGACAAGACATTTAGCCAACAAAGACACTTAGCCAACACAGAATTAGCCATCAGGACATTTAGCTACAGGACGTTTAACTGTCAAGACATTAAGCCAACAGTGACGGCATACATACCCAGTAATTATTTAAACTTACTACCAATTACAAAATTTGTCATCTTCTCAATAAGTTCAATATTTAAGTCATTTTTTTCACTTATCAGTAAAATTCATTTTTCGATTCTTAAAGATCCCATACATGCTTTTAGTTCTTGTATAATTTAGCATAGTTTGATATATATCATGCTATTTGGAGTATATTGGCCAGACTGAAAAAGCTTTGAAATTTCTCATCAGGGAGTATGAATTAATTTTCAAAAGGAAAAAAAAAATTTTTTCCTAAGTACGACGGTCACTTAGTTACATTTTAATATAGGATCTGCAAAATGTGTCCGTAAAGCTTCTTCTTTAAATTAACTATTATAGATACGTTTTAGCGCCATCAAATTTTGGTAAAAAATACGGAAAATGTGTGTACACGATCCAACCCAAGTTGCTTAGCGGGTATGTTTAAAGTAAAAGAAAGTCTAGCTGGAGTTGTATGTCAGCATCTTTTTCAAAGTACGAAGAATGAAAATTTATGTTTTGCTTCAATACTGAATAATAAAAAGACTTTTAACAATATTTATCATTATACAACATTATACAACAATTTATTTCTCTAAACTTAAACCATTTTAACTAACATTTTAAGTAAGAGGCGTGGTTACAGAACTGCGTATTTAATTCCAAGATCTTTAATCCCACAAACACGAGACAAATTGCTTATTCTTAAAGAAAAAAAGATGAGGTGACAGTGATTTTTAAGCATTTCTTGTCAGTCACCATAATCATAAAAGATCTCATTTTTAGTATTTTTTAATAACAAAATAAAATAGAGTTGCTAATCTAACACTTCACTGCCAATATTTCCTTTAAAAGCATAATTCAAGAATAATAGCGAATTTTACTTCGGTATTCAGATTTGGAACAGTCTTCTCATTTTCTAGTAACTCATTTATAAAGGTCTAGCCTAAAAAAGCAACTTTCATTGGAAGAGACTGGTTATATATTAGGTAAAATGGTCACTTTATTTCTGTTAGGCCCAGCAGCGGCCGAACGGTAAAGTCGCTGAGCACTGGTAGTTTGGTCCAAATTTCGAATCCTGCGAATGGACTGGCTGCATGGGTGTTTTGGGGGTGTTCCCCATGTGTAAGGTGAATACGAGCCAGTTTTCCTTAGAAAGTCCTCCATGAGGGTATCCCTCTCTGTAGGCAGACAACTGTCTAGCTTTGACGTAATTACATAAACCAAATGAAACCAAACCTACTTCTGTTAGGTGGCCACAGGCCACAAGGCGTGAATTCCTGGGTCGGAGTCCTATCCCAGATTAATAAGTATATGATGCCTAACATGTAAATAGCATTTCAGGGTGGAAAGGTAGTTCCAGTGTAGCGAGGAGTAGAGCGAATCACTGTACTTTCTGATAGGGAAAGGAAATTTCATTAGTGGGAGGAGGGAAACAACTTTATACAGGAAGGAATGTAGCATAATTTGTTGAGCAAAGTAGTAATGAAATGTGAAAGTATTAGAAATCTGAAAGCATTGGGAAGAGCGAGATTCATTGTCGGTTTAATGTCTTGTTGACTAACTGTCTATGTCGGCTAAGTCTCCTTGTCCTACTAAACGTCCTGTTGGCTAAGTTTCCTTGTCGGCTAAGTGTCTGATTTGGCTAAGTGTCCATGTCGGCTAAATGTCCTGTCGGTTACGTGTCTCATCGGCTAAGTGTCCACAACCGCCTTGAAAAAGCTTTTGTATTTCTTCTTCAGTCAGTCCTTTTTTTTTCTTATTGATATATTGCTATAAAACAAAGCAAAGTAACTAGCAAGAAATCTTGTAAAATTGCAGAATACTCAAAAGCAACACAAGGCACTGTGTATGTTTTACAAATTCTGTAGCAACAGTAATGAAAAGTTAAGAAAATCCAGATTCTTAATAGAAGACATTTGAAGGAGATAAATAGTTACACCTCTAGAGCATAAAATCAGACATTTCACCCTAGGACACATGATCAGTATAGTGGACATTCCATTCTTTAAACAGGAAACACTATGGCCATTGTAATGGCCTTCCAAAACAGATTAGATAGTCAGTTGAGTTGAATAGTCAGTTGAGTTTTTTATATAGCAGAAATTTTAACTGAATAATGAAATACTGTTTAGGATTTAAAGTTTTTGATAACATGTTTTTTAATTTCAGGCCATAATGTTAACTATTGTTTTAAAAACTTATTAATTAAATTTATTGTTTTCTATTAAAGAGACTTTTATCCAAACCAAACGTATTTCTCTTATGATGCAAAATTAAATAACAAGTCTATGGAAAAATTTATACAGAAAAAAAGAGCTTTCTCCCATCCATTATAAAAAATCATAGTTATATCTGTGGTTAATATGTAATTTAAATAGAAAACAATGTTAAAATATAAAATTTATTCAATACCTTCTAAAAATAATGTTTATATTTTAAACTGAATAATTGTAGCTGACAGAATTTTAGTTAAAATTCATCTAGGGGAAATTTCCATCTATATTAAGTCTTTGCCATTCATTAGAGTTTTGTGAGAAACTATTAAAATATTGTTTTAAGATTTAAATTATTTTCTGTTTATATAAAATATTTGTAATTCATTTGTTTTATTTTAAATTCCAACATTTGGATAAAATTGTGTCTTGTTTCAATTTCTAGAACATAAATTGGTTCAGAATGGGACAAGAGGAAATTCTTCAGCGTATTCAAGAGAATAACAAAAGAGGTGAAGAACTTGTCAAGTTTATACAAAGTGAGCTGTCATTGCTTAAAAATGCTGCTGCTGAAAAATTCTGCAAAAATTTGGAAGCTGAACTAAGAGAAAAAAATTTACAGCTGAAAAAGGAATTGGAATATTGGAAAAACAAAGTAGTAGAATTAGAAATTATGAATGGCATAGCACAGTACACACTTCCAACTGATATAAGGAAGATAAATATTGTAGGAAGTGATATCCAAAATATAAAGAATGAAGAGATACAAAAGATTAATAAACCAGACAATAAAACTAGCCTTCAAGTTGAAGCTAAGAATGATGTAGCTGAAGGAGCTAATGATGATAAAAAATTGAAGAAAGCAAAAGCAGCTAAGCCAGAAAAGCAGTCAGCAACACCTAAATCTGAAAAACAACCAACTGAAGATAAAGAAATAAATGTAAGCCGTTTGGATCTTCGCATTGGGCGTATTCTGACAGCAAAAAAACATCCGGATGCAGAGAGCTTGTATGTGGAAGAAATAGATGTAGGAGAAGAAAAACCAAGAACAGTTGTTTCTGGATTAGTTAAATATGTGCCACTAGAAGAAATGCAAAATCGCTTAGTTGTAGTTCTTTGTAATTTGAAGCCTGCAAAGATGAGGGGTATTACATCAGAAGCAATGGTAATGTGTGCTTCAACTCCAGATAAAGTAGAAATTTTGTGCCCTCCTGCAGATAGTGTACCTGGTGATCGTGTTCTATGTGATGAATATCCTGGGGAACCAGATCCTATTCTTCCACCAAAGAAAAAAATTTTTGAGCAAGTTGCCCCAGATCTTAAAACAGATGCAAACTGCATTGCTACTTATAAATCATGCTCTTTAAAAGTAGCTGATAAGGGAGAAATAAAAGCTGCTACATTAGCAGGTGTACAAATAAAATAGTATACTAAATAAATTTTCATTGCCAACTTTTTTTCAGTGTGATTTATTCAAGTCTTAATAAACTTTCCAAGTTAGCATTTAATAACATGTAATTAAGAAATTTGAAATTTAATGGAAAAAATCAGAGTAAATAAGATTGTGCAAAGGTTCAGAGTATTTAATGTAATAAATTTTGATATTAGAAATATCTGTAATGTTCTATGTTCATTTTTTTAATACCATTGCATTGTACACTACTCGGGAATTTACTGCCCACATGGCCTGGCAAATATTAACATTCCAGGACATCTGAGATCTTAAATTTATCAATCCTGCAGTATGGCAAAATGCCAGCTCTCAAAAGTGCTGTCTTTTGATGTGGCATAACCTTTTTGTCTTTAAAATGAAATATTGGTCAGCAAACTGAACAAATTATTAAAATATCGTATTTACTCTGTAGTAATTTATATTTTAATATTCTTAAGGTAATTTATAAAGCATTTAATTTATGTGACTGATTTTTATTTTAAATTTCATATCATTATTGTAATTAATAAAAGAGGTTATTTTGTATTTTGATGCAGAATAATTGTTTATAGGCAGTTGAATAGTCAGTTGAGTTTTTTTACATAGCAGAAATTTTAAATTAAAAAATAGTAAAATAATAAATTTATTTTAAATAGAAATTTAAATTAGAATAATTTTTATTTGTACAATTGGTCATCAGAATTAAATAATATTAATTAAATAATACAAAGGAATTAAATAATACATTGTTTCATTTATTTGCGATAAGCATTAATGTCATAAATATTCATTATTGTAAATAATTGTTTGTGGAAAGCTATTAAATTTTGTGCATGTTATTGAAATTTCATATAATTAAAAGGGCTAGGGGAAAAATTGGATATTGTTTAAATGGCAAGGGATGGATCTAATGAATGTTACGACTCTTGGAAAAAATATTCAAATTAATCTTTTTTTCTTTAATAATGTGTTTCTAAATAATTCAGCTGGGTTTTTCTGAAAATGACTAATCATAGGACAAAAAGTAATTACACTTCATTAATAGAATTGCTAAATTTTCATAGAAACCCCATTTAACCCAAAGTAATATATTCTATAAGCTTTATCTCATCTTATGCCAGTGGTAGCTTTCATATAATCCACTTCAACAGTGATAGAAGCAGTTGCATTTTTTCAATCTGCCCACACAAATCCTTACTTTGGGATAAAAAAAAAAAAAGGTTGACTTCTTTAATTGTTTATTTTTTATATTCTTTCTTATAGATGATTTCTTTTATAGCCATTTAAACAAGGAATCTATATCAGCTTTTTCTTTCCAACCAAGAGATAAGTAAGAGATCAAATTTTATACAAATATATATCTAATTAAAAAGTTTTATCCCAGTAACTGCTTTAAAATGTCATCAATGTTTGCTTTATATGTTTTTTTTTTTTTTTTAAACCGGATCTCTGTAGTAATTCAGTAGTATTCAATTATATTTTTTAAGGTAATTGCTGTTAACTGCGTTTTTGTATATACGCTCAATCTCTCGATTACACAGAAGATAGGTTCCGCACAAAACCATGTAAATCGAAATCTTGGATTTTGCTATGTTAAAACCATGTAAAATGAAAACCATACTAAATGTGCATAATTTAATTATTTATTTACATAAAACAAAAGTAAGACATCTTAAAATAAATAAAGTTATACTTTTTTCATAAAATAACAAATATATGTAGGTAATAGAAGTACATATTTAATTTATTTTACATTGGGAAACTAAGATCATTCAAAAATATTGTTATAAGCTTAAACATTTTCATGAACTATTGGTCTTTTCTTCTTGATTTGTATGATGTCACTTTCATCACTTGAGTGTTCTTGATTAGATTCTGCTTCAATTGTTGACAAATTAGGGAAGATCTCAGATGTACAGGACTTTGTAGTGAAATCTGTAGTCAACAATTGCCAATTTTTTCCCCTAAATCTTTGTAAACCTCCTCATGTTGATATAAGCAGTTACTAAGCTCCCGTTTGAATCGGAGAGCTCGTTCAACATTCATGTTATATTGTAAAAAATGATTACCTTATTTTCTTCCCAATTCAAGTCCTACGTTGATGACTATTGCTGTGAATACAACTGGTTCAGATTGCTCTTCATCAGAATCATTGTCTTCAACTTGTTAACTAATTCATTCTCATTTAGTTCTTCATCAGCCAGTATTTCTTCAATATCTACCTAAGCTAAATCCCCAAAACCTTCTCCTCCTATAATTTGGGCCAATTTAGTGATCTGAGAATATTCATGTTCTAATGGTAATTTATCATTCTCATCTTTAGCAGCATCCGGCCCTACTGCTTTCCAGCATGCTTTGATTTTTTAATCTAAGTATGTGACAGTCCAACATGCTTAACACAATCTAAGATTGTACATTTCTTCCAAGCATCCATAAGGGTAAGGAATTCATCATTCTCCATTTGTTCTAAAATATACCTTAGGGTGTGTTTGATATACAATGCCTTAAAATTCGCAATTATTCCTTGATCTAACGGCTGTAATAAGGAAGTTGTATTCTTTGGTAAAAAAACTAATTATCCTTATCGTGGCTTCATTCATGGAGTAAAAATGAGCGACATCTGTTGCTCTTTCTCTATTATGTAGACGATCTAGTATTTTAATTTTTGTTTCTAAAGAAATAACTTATCTTTTTATTTGATTTTTCCCCTCAAATCTTTTGGCATTATAAAACCTTAAAAAATTTATGTAAAATATTAAAATGCCACAAAAAATATAAAAAGTTCAAAACTTACCAGTAAACATTCAAATATGTTGATAAAAATGATGCAAGCTTTGCTGCTAAAATACTGATACTGTACTAATTCACATAAACCTAATAGCTTTACTGTTGTGAAATATATATGCATACTACGGGGATTCATCTTTTACAACCCACGGGGAGAATCCTCATCCTTGTTGTTGCTACCATTGTTACCAAAGGAATGAGATTCAAATATGACTTCAAATATATGTATTTGCGTATATGCAGCCGGATATACATTTTTACCAAGTTTTTAAAATCCATTAATTTTTAAACTCTGTAAAACGATACCATAAATTTGAGGGATAGGTGTATATATGTAAAATATAAAAAACGTGATGGCTTTGCTCTACGCGAACAGGCAACCTCTAACTTTCCACAATTTCCCTCTAGACCAGTACTTTCAAGAACATTTGGACATGTTACATAACCACTGCTATAAATGAAGAAGTTTGTGCCATTTTTCATGAGATTGCACCCTGCTATCACTGCTATAAGGCCTTGCAGTGCTCTGTCGCTTCTTCCCTTTGTTAGAATAGTTATGAAGTTGAAAGCTTAAATTTAACCTTATCGTAATTTAAATAATTATTGGATATGTAGTTTTTGGAGAATCTGAAAGAATATGACCTGCCATTCTTAAGTGAAGAAAGATATGGAATTTTAAAATTTAAATTCTTCGGTGTCTTGGATTGGCTGCCTTCCCACTTTGCAACGACCACACCTTGACTACTGATGTGACCAGATTGCTAAGCTTCATCATTTCTAGTGCCGATCTACTTCAAATATTACATATATATATATATATATATATATATTCTCAGTACATTTTATAGTAAATTTGCATCTTTAAATTTTTGTTTCAGTACATTTCAAGTTTCACTTTTTATGTGATTGTTATCATCATTGTATATGAAAACTTGAAAATATTAGATAACTTGCGTAGGAAAATCATGAACTTGGTTCAGTTACTGGAATAAAAATATTTACTATATGTTGTAGAAATTAATTTTTAATTCAGAAAATAAATAATAAAAAATATTATTATTTATAATCAAAATTCTGCATTATAACGGAAGTTAGAAAGTAATTTTATCAAAATGAAGTTAACAAAATAATAGCAATGGGTGTGCATATTTATTTAGAAATGATCAAGATTCAGTTAAGTAATTTCTTTCATTTAATGCAAGATTTTTTGCATTTTCAAAACTCTGAATTAAAGAAATTATTAATTTGAAACTCTGAATTGCTTTAATGGAGTTTTAAATTAGTCACATGACCTCAAATATTTGTATCATTAAATTTGATGTAATTTTAAAAAGATTAAAAGCATGATGGAAATAAAGGGTGAGTATGATTTTTGGAATAACCTAGAAATGCACAGTTTTTCCTCATGTAGAACTCATTCTGCCTTTAATTTTAATTAAGAAATCAATTACTAATGAAGCAGTTAAAACCACAGAATTCTAATATTTTCACTGTGCATTGTATTCCCAGTGGACTAGCTGCACGTTTTTTTTTTTTTTTTTTTTTTTTTTTTTTTTTTTTTTATGGCCTAGTCTCCCTTTAGAATTCTTTTATGAAGGTTTTCCTCAGCCCTTTTTAAGTAATCCGTATCCTATTCTTCTAATGGTTAATAAATAAATATGAAATCATTTCTGCTGAGGAAAAAAGTCAAATTTTACTTTTTTGTTCTTGCGATACTTTCTCAAATCCCATCGTTATATTTAACTTTTATTTCGTAATTTAAAGTAAAAACAACATTAAAAAAGAAAGTCTGAAGTGTTGTTGGTAGTTTGGAATAATTACTTCCTTTAAAGAAATATTCTTTTGTTGTTGGATTTACGTAAACACTGTGCTAAAATCATAAGCTTACATTCATATAAAATTTAAATTGGTGGCTTAAGCAGAACTTTGCTGACTTAAGGGGAGATGATTCAGTTACATCAAAAGTAAAACCATTTATTAAATTGTTTGTGTATATAAATACACCAGCCTCCAGATGTGCAATTTGCTTTGCTTAAAGTTATCTGTTGTCAAAAGTAGTTTATTAAAGACACAACAAGAAAAATGTGATACTTAGATGAACTAATTTAAGGATAACTTTGCTGTTTAAAAGATGAATGCTTTGTAAATTAATATAGGTATCCAAAAATAATACTGACTTTATATTTTTAATTAAAAACTTTTTTTGGAGAATTTCAGTTAGCCAATCATTTTGAATTG